TTCATCGGATGCAGAGCACACTGGTTCAGTGGGCCATGTTTCCAACACCTCCTCACGCTCACGGCATTCTAACTGCTCCACCCCACCCCCGCCCCCCAAAGTCTCTCTCACAAATGATCCAAACCCCATCCGCCCTTCCAGACCCAACGGGTCTTTTTTGAAAGAGCCCTCCCTCGGTCACCTGAGCCAGAGTAGCACCCCTCCTCTCCGCCCTCCCAATGGATTATCCATTGGACTGCTAACCAGAAAGTCAGCAGTTCGAATCCACCAGCCTCGCCAAGCGAGAAAGCTGAGACTGTGTGCTCCCGTACATAGTGACGGCCTCGGATCCCCACAGGGACCATTCTATGCCCAGTCCATGGGTCAGATGTGACTCGATGGCGGCGAGTTTGGTTTTTCTCAGCCTTGCACGGCTGGACTGGCTCTCTTGACGGCCTTCTCACTTTCTGCCTTGCATTTCACCGCGAATGATATGTTCTCTTGCTTCCCTTACTGAACAGCAGCTTGCTGAAGGCAGGCGCTTTGGCTAGACTGCCACTTCATAAAGAGTGAATGAACAGTTTAACTCCTCCCAGGACTTGCGCCTAGCCCACACGAAGCCCTCCCAATCGCCAGGAGGGGCCTGTCCATTGCATGACTTGATGCATTCAGGTCTGCATAGCCCAGTAAGGGAGCCACTCACCTTCCGTGGCTGTGGAGCAAGTGGAAGGGGCCGGTCCAAACTGAGATGCATTATAGGTATGCATTTGAAGACTCGATCTCAAGAGAGAACGTAAAAGATCTCTTCAGTAGTGTTTCATGTTAACCACTTAGTGGGAGGACAGGATTTTGCCTCTGCTGAGTTAAATAAAAATTCATTCTTAGAGGTAATATTTTCCTTGCTTCTTTTTACTTCTTCTTTTTTAAATGTGGTTACCTTAAAAGTACACATGTAGCTTGTGTTCTATTTCTGTTCCAGCGTTGTTTGAGACCACTAGTCCACCGTTTAGCTAGGAGTCACCCGCTGAGGTGGCAGAGTGCACCCCGCAACAGGTGCTCAGAGAGCCCTGGGAGCAGCGATGTGGAGAATCCCTTAACTCTCGAACTTACAGGTGTTGCTTCCCCCACTCTATTCATGTCTCCTCTTCATCTCCCCACGCACTAACTCCCCAGGAAAGTGAGCGAACTCCAGGGAAGTGCACTTGAAAACCGTGAGATTAGCGTAAACCAAGCTAACCCCCCCACAAAGGAGCCCCTTCCAAACCAGCAGGACACCTCAGAGCTTTAGGGCTCCCAAGACTGGAAATCTTTAGGGAAAGCAGACTGTCTCATCTTTTCCCCCACTGAGTGCCTAGTGGGTTTGAACCCCTGACTCACTTTAAGCCATTCACTGAGCCCACAGTGCCACCGAGGCTCCTTGGAATTAGGTCGGCTGGGGGGGGGTGGGCAAGCATACATAGCTAAAATGTTTACTCTTGATAAATGTTCACTAAGCAGGGACTTCTGGGGCTGTCTTTAGTTCCTGGGTTTGAACCTCTAGCCTGAGGGTGTCAGCTGGTGAAGCCCTGTCATGAATCAGGGTCTGCAGACTCCAGGCTGAGTGGATGTGTGTCTGGGAGCCTCTGGTTTGGGCTTGGCAATCCTCTGATGTTTAGTGGAGTTGCAGGCGGGGCCCTCTGAGAACAGGTCCCATGCTGGGCCTGCAGGTTCACACCCACTCCTGAGAAGTCTGGCTGGGCCTAGACACGGGAACCAGGACAAGCCCACACAGCCCACTCGTTGGCCTGGCTAGTCTTTAGTCATCCCTAAGGACTCAGCTTCAATGTCTCTCATTTTCTAGAGACTTGTCTGGTCCCCAGCTCCACCCTCAAAGCATGAGCGTGGTAGTCCTTACCTGTGCTCCCATTCAGCACCCTGCATGTCACCAATGTCTCAGCAGTCCCTGTGCTGCAACATTACAATTCCCTTTGTCTTAGCCTGGATCCCTCCCCCAACAACATACAATGAGGCATGTAAGGACAAAGTGGCTCGCTCCAGCTGTACCCCCAGAACAGCACCTAGTAGGCCCGATGAATGGTTTTCCCTTAAGAGTCCTCAGACAGCAACTGGGTGGTGAGAAGTGGAGGGGGTTGGGGGTGGGGACTTCTTTGTCTCAGGACCACGGAATGGAGGGGCAGACAGGGGTGTGAGTGGCATGGCTCAGCCCAGGCCCGGAGCTCATGAGCAGGAATTCCCCAGAGCTTGCCTGCTGGGGCCCAGCTGCCCTGGCACTGAAGCCCTGCGCCCCAGCCCCTCGTGGGCTGCTTCTGAAAGGCCACGGCACTGACAACCCCAGGAGTACAGCTCTGCTCTGACAGACATGGGGCGGCCATGAGGATAGCAACAACATGCACCAGGTATTAAGAAGGATTAAGCCTGAAAGGGAACCTGAGGTTCATCTGTAGAATTCTCCCACCTGACTGTCAAAGTAATGTCGAGCAGCTTTACCTGACAAATTGACACATCCCTTTCAGGTCTCTCAAATGGCTCTGCCTCAGGAAGTCACCCCGGCAAGCCTCCTCCCCTTAAAACGCTTCCTCACTCCAAGAATAGCTCACTCTTGCCCCAGCAGGACATCTCTTCCTTTGTGTAGGCCAAGAGCTGTCTCATTTCTCGAGCGACTGCAAAGTCTCTGAGGGCAGAGACCGTGTCCACCTTGCCAGTCTAGAGCCAGACGTGGAAGCCCAGCCCTAGTGAGCACCAGTACTTGTAGAATGAGTAAAACGACCAGAAGACCAGAGAACTGGCCAGTTTCAGAGTCAGGCCTGGAACTCAGGTTCCCCAACACTCAGTCATATTCTCGCTCCTCTGTCACCCAGGCTAATTCCTCTGGAAGGCCCCAGTCAGCTGGGTCCAGAAAGTACCCAGATCTCAGGCAGGAACATGAGCAACAGGTCTTGGGCCTCGTTCTACTTTCACAGAGAGCCCAGAGGAGGAGTGGCTGGGAACAGGAAGAGTCTCACTGGTCATCACCGCCTGTGGCCCTCTACATGTGCAGAGGGCAATGGGGCAGCATAAGGTGGATCCTCTCCAGCCACACAGGAGGCAAAGAGCTAAGCCATTCTCCAGCCTGGCAGCATAGCGGTGATGCATTTGGGCTGCCATCCAGAAGGTCAGCGGTTTGAAACCACCAGCCAGCTGCTCCTCGGCAGAAAGACAGGGCCTTCTATTCTCGCAGAGAGTTCTAGTCTTGGAAACTGACAGAGGCAGTTCTACCCTACCCCGTAGGGTCACTGAGAGTCGGCATGGACTCAATGGCAGTGAATTTGGTTTGGGTTTGAACCCACTGCACCCTCAAAAGGACAGAGGAAGAATGTGGCCACCGAGGCTCCCGTCCTTCTTGATCTTCCACAAGCACCACTCTCCTGGGGTCCAACTAGGAGAAGGGTTTCCCTCTGCACAGCTGGGAGCCAGTCAGTGCCCTACATCATAGGCAGAGCTACCTCTGAGCTCGGCCACTTTCTTTCCAACTGGGGGCCTTGAGAAGAATCCTACCCCTCTCAGAGGACTCAAGGGGACCATTGTGAGGGCTCAAGGGGACCTCTTCCTCGCGTGCATCTCGCCCACATTTGAAGGGCAGCAGCAAGCCTGTGGAGGCTCCCATTCTAACCCTTGAGGATCTCTCCTCACCAAGGAGATGCTCCACCTATCGTTCTGGGCCAAACTAGAGATGACTTCACGCTCAGCCTTCGGCTCTGATAAGGTCGAGTAAAGGGAGGGGCGGCTATTGACAGATTTGAGAGCACGGAACAGGCAGCAACAGCCACAACAAGAAGCCAGCTAAAGAGTAGAACTGTGATACCATATACATATGTATGTCATTAACAAAGGGTTTGACTGTTTCTCTTTTGGCTCTCTCCCGCCTCCTTTCAAGACTTCATGGACTCCACCCCATTGTGAGGGACCCTCCCCACCACCCTAAGAGCCCTCTGTCTACCTACGAAGAAGGGTTAAGAACTTGCCTAATGGCAATGCGGGGACCCAGCGCAGGTTCACCGGGAGACAATGAGCCCCCAGCCTTACAGCAGCCGGCACTTCTCCCCTCAGGTCAAAGCCGGCCCCAACTCATCTGTCCCCTTCTCTTTAATGCACTTTCTTCTTTAAACGTGCACTGGATCCCCTTTCTCCTTTATAAACTTAAGCAGTCGAATGACTTTGAAGATTTGGGGTTCTGGCAAAGCAAATTACGCAGGATGGAGAAATACTGCAGTGGCCTCTCACTCGCCACCATTGAGTTGATTCCAAGTCATAGTGACCCTACAGGTAGGACTGCCCCTGTGAGTTTCCAAGGCCTTAACGCTTAATGAGAGTAGAAAGCCCCTGTCTTTTTCCCGCGGAGCAGCTGGTGGTTTTGAACTGCTGACTTTGCAGTTAGCAGCCCAACGCGAAACCACTACGCAACCGGCAACCGGGGCCCTAGTGCCATCAGAATACCTGTTGCTAACTGAGATCACAAGGAGCAAGTTAAAAAACTAACTACGTAGTCAATTCACATAGCAACCCACAGGATAGAGTAGGTTTCCACGGCAGTAATCAGATTGCCACATCCTTCGCCCGCCGAGCGCTCTAATCACGGCACTACCAGGGCTCTCCAAAGAGGGTCTAAGGGCCGCTATGCAAACGCTCCTGAGGAGGCCCTTTCCGCGGCTCTCAACCAAGGAACCTCCGGGACGCCGTGTGGGCGGGGCTCCATTGACACCTTTCCCCGCCGCGCCGAGGCAGAGGCGGGATCGAAGTCAGCGCCAGCCAATGCGAAAGGCCCCGGTCACGCTCAGTCGGAGTAAGCCAATGGGCGACGAGGGCGTGGCCAGGGCCTCCAGCTCCGAGCGTTTTATAAGAACCTGGAACGCAGCACTTCCCAGAGCGCTCTAGTGTCTTTCCCGGTCTGGTCGCGGTTCACGATCCGCGGTTCACGACCCCAGCTCCTCACCCACCCCCCCACCGCCCCCGAGCCCTCGCCCACCGCCTTCCGGCCATGGAGCCCCTGACGGTACCCCGACGCCCCGGCCTGGCGGCCGACGGGCTCATCAAGTCGCCCAAGCCCCTGATGAAGAAGCAGGCGGTGAAGCGGCATCACCACAAGCACAACCTGCGGCACCGCTACGAGTTCCTGGAGACCCTGGGCAAGGGCACCTACGGGAAGGTGAAGAAGGCGCGGGAGAGCTCGGGGCGCTTGGTGAGTGGGATCTCCTCTCGCGGCAGCGAGGGCCGGGGAGGGCTCGGGGCTCGGCCGCCGCTCGGTGGAGCGCCCGCTTTCAGTCTGGACCACGCTGGGGCCGCAGGGGAGCTCTGGGCAGATGGGTAGGACCTAGGGGGACGGTCATCTTGGACCCGAGAAAGCTGATCAGGCCAGGCAGCGTGTTGAGCGCGGCCAAGCAAGTGGGGCAGACTGTTGGCGCGGGATATAAAAAACAGAGATAGTGCACGGGCTTGGGAAAGTGCGGCTGAAGTAGAATTTTG